AAAAAAAAGTGCAAAAACAGCCCCAGACATTTTTATGTTATGCATGATGCTATACGTGTCGACTGCATATTTATTTCACAGCCATGCGTGAGCCTGTACACGTGCAAATATAAATATGCCATTAGTCTTAAATATCTACCCACATAATATCAAACTGAGCTGCAGTGATTATTCCGAAACTAGGCTAAATTTAAAAAGCAGACATTTCTGAAATTACAAATGTAGTGAATACAGTTTACCAAAAACACAAGCATCAGTAGAGACGAGAAGCAAAAAGGGGGAGTTAATTCGTGGAGAGTCTGTTCAATGCTGCTCAACGTTTCTGTAATAAACGGGAAAAGAGGACGGTCTTCACACAATAGGAAGAACGCAGTCATTGGTCCAAAGGACACCCAATAAGAAGTCTCTAAAGTTCCTATTTACAAGATGTTTCGGCGCTTTTGCATTTACTGCCGGCTCTTCAGCGACTCCACCAACCTGAAATGTGGACGAACAGGAGGTAATAGTAAATATAATGCAAACAATTTGTATTTAAACTGTCAAAAAGTAAAACTTTTACCATTCCATTGCCTCATCCAGGCCTGTGCCTTTAGTAGCAGACGTCTTGAAGATCTGCCACTTCCTATCTTTGAGCGCAGGCAAACCGAGAGCGTTAGCCACTTCGGTCGGCGTCATGGCCTGTCCCATGTCCTGCTTGTTTGCAAACACCACCAGAATGGCTTTCTTCAGCTCCTCCTCCTGAAAGACAGGACCGATGACTAAACTCTTTGAAATACAGGTACTTTATTGGCATCTTTGGTTCCATGAAGAGCCTTTAACATCCATTCCACAAAGGTACTTGAAACGCAGCATAACAATGGAAAGTTACGCAACAGAACCCACATCTGACCAACCTCCAACATGGCCACCAGCTCAGATTTGGAGATGCCCATCCGGTCACGGTCACTGCTGTCCACCACGTAAATCACTGCGTCTGTGTTGGAGTAATAACACCGCCAATACGGCCTGTGGAAGACGGAGATGAAATCTTTAGCTCGATTTCTTTCTTAATCAGTGTAATACAGAGCAAATTAAAAACGTCTTGCCTGATACTCGTCTGTCCACCGAGGTCCCACACTTGAAACTTCAAGTTCTTGTATGTCACAGTTTCCACATTAAAACCAATTGCTGTGTTCGAAAAATAGCAAATTAGCTCCCACTACATCTCATGTGTAAAGTTGTGTGCATAAATCATCATAAACACGTACTAGGAATGGTGGTCACCACTTCTCCCACTTGAAGTCTGTACAATATGGTGGTTTTTCCAGCTCCATCCAAACCTAAAATGAGGATTCTCATCTCTCTGGTGCCAAACAGGCCCGAGAAGAGGCTGGAAAAGAAGCCCCCTGATAAAAACAATAGAATTATATGAAATTATTGAACAGAAAATGGTGAACTAATGCCCTTTTAGATCAGTGTCTCTCAGAATCATAGTACATGTATGTCGCTTATAGGAACACACCCCAACACATTCGAATAAAACACTATAAACATTATGAAAAGAGTCAAACATGTTTTAAAATCGAGCTTTTCAATAACATGGGTTACTCTGATATCTGCTATGCTAACAAACTAGCGTCACCAGGCGAACCAATGCGTGCTGAGCAAACTTCCCTTTGTAAGCACACAGAGAAGCGTTCGTATTAATCGCATTTTAAAATGAACTGTCCATTATATCCAACAACATACATCTTACTTCACGCAGACCTACCCATTCTGGATGAAATACTTTAGTAGCGCGGTGTTTCTGATGGCAGACCCGTGGAAACACTTCCGTGCTCGAGCTGCTGAACGACGTGTCACACAGGGCACGCATACACACCGCGCGCACATTCGACACTCTTCTAAGCGAATCTGCTGCTGTCTAAATACCTCAAATCTCTTTAGTTTTTATTATTATTATTATTATTATTAACAATACCAGAAAGATTCACATAAACATTAGAACAAGAACATGTGGATACAATAACAATTTAAATATAATTATTCAATTAAAAATAATAATAAAAAAATCAATCATAACCATACAAGTTATTACTTTTTACTCTTTTTTCTATAAGATTGGCTGTGTTTAAATCTTTTCTATTGGAGGAGATTCTTTGACACGATGAGTAAAGTAAAAGTAAATCAGAAGTGAATATTGAAGGCATGGTGTTTTGTGAGTGTGGAACTTTGCCATCATACAAATCAAGTCCAGGGCATCCTCTATTTCTAGTAAACTTCCAGAGTTTGGTCTGAGAAGGAGATTTGAACATTATAATTCGAAATATTTGCTTATTTTTCATGTTTTTCAATCTGGTTATATGTATTTAATTGTGCCTAGACAATTGTGACAATTTATTTGTATTTTTTTTATTTATTTTTAATGTGTGTTTATTTCTTAAAATAAAACCGTACCAAATGGAGGTGGTTGAGTGGTTGCAGCTCATGACCTCTACCCAGCAGTTGTCGTTTTTCCCTTAAAAAAATAATAAGATAAATAAAAGCATTGGCTCATATCATCCCTTTTTAAGGGATAGGGCTCACCTTATAAAGTTAAAGGGATAGTTCACCCTGAAAATGAAAATTCTGTCATTAATTACCCTCATGTCGTTCCAAACCCATAAGACCTTCATTCATCTTCGTAACACCAATCAAGATATTTCTGATGAAATCCGAAGTAAGGACATCAGTAAAACAGTCCATGTGACATCAGGGGTTCAACTGTAATTTTATGAAGCGATGAGAATATTTTGTTCACTTTATTCAACTATTCTTCTCCCCCGAATCGCCCTCTGCCTCTGTTATAAAGAGTGCCACGACGCATGAGGCTCTCTTTTCTTCATCTCTCACATCATGGCTATCTTATCATCCCAGGTGTGTTCGCCAGTCTGTCCATGGCTTTCATGGCTGCAGCCAGTCTGTTTTACTTCCCCAGAGTCCTCCACTTTTGCCAACCTGCTCCATTATTTGGTAGTCCACTGTTGTCAAAGCTTTGTTCCCGTGGAGTGACCACCACACACCGAGGTAGGATTCAATGCCATGTTTTTATCATAGTCTACGTGTGTTTAGCCACCATGGCTTTCAATGCAACTGCTGACTTTTGGGCCGTTTTGTTGTATATAGCATTAGCAATTTATCATAAGCAACAGTGGGATTTAAACTCAGTTCTCCATGATTACAATGCAGTGCTTTATCAGCTGAGCTACAGAGCCGGAAGGATTGAGTTGAGTTTAGATGGGGTTTCATTGAGAACTGTGTTGTATATAAATAGAAAGTGCCACATTTTCTGGGTTTGAACCCAGATTGTCACATATGATAGACACGTGATTATCCACTGAACCACAGAGGTTGTGATATGTGGTGGTGCTTTGGATTTGGTTCTGCTGCATTACCTATAATTTTATAAAACTATAAAAATATTACTTGGATTTGAACTCTGGTCGCCCTGATTAAAACGCAGTGTTTCATCTCTTGAGCCATTGAGTGTTTTGGATGGGTATTTTATTAAGGGCTTTGTTTTATTTGGTGAAGAACTCAAGCAATTTATAGGCCTTGAACCCAGACTCATACATATGAAAGGCACATGATCATCCACTGAGCTACAGAGTTTGTGATTGTGTTTATTTAAGGGTCATGAGACTTTAAGCTTAGCTACGGCATCAATTATAGCAACTACTTAATCTAGCAGTAGTGGGATTTGAACACATGTATCCATGATTAAAACATGCTTTATCAGCTGAGCCACTGATCCTACAGAGTCCATGCAGTTTTGGATGGGGTTTTATTAAGAGCTTTGTTTTATATGAAAAATCATTTAACAATTATGTGACGGTCTTTTCGAGTTTTAGTTTCAGTACAGCATTTTTAACTTTTTGGAATTGTCATTTTAATGAACAGGTTAAAGAACATGAATTGCTCGCATTGCAAAATTCTAATTTAAAATGACCTTGTAATTTATTGTACATCATTTTATGTGTACATTAATCTCATAAATTCATACTGGTATCTATTTTTTCTGTGCAATACAGTTTTGTTATCAGGTCTATCTAACACCCCGGCTCAACTTTATTTTGGATGAGCACTTTCAATGTGAAAAAGTAAGATTTCACTTTATTTTTAACAATTATTGATGGTGAAAGAATTCATAATGATATAAATCTGCATATGCATTCCATAAAAAAGATCAAATCATACTCAACTTAATACAGTATATTGTGTGGAATAGGTTGAGAATGTATAGTGCAGTGGTGCTATTCTCAACAAGGGTAACACAAATTCAGACTTTAATTTACAATTTAACACATAACTACATAAATAAAACAAAAAGGAATGATAGACATAATTATAACTCCTGTCCTATTAACTACAAATAACTAACATTTAACATTTGAAACCCACAGCTTTAACAGACATAGGTAAGCAATTAAATATTCGTCTGTCACAGCCAATCACCAATCACTGTAACTCTCAAAAATCACTGAAGGAGGGCACAACTCATTGAAGTACATTAGACTCCATTTGCAGCGTTGCAATTCACAAAAAACACCACAGGAGGGCGCACTAACTCAGAATTTATTTAAAATTGTAACAGAACCACACATCCCGATGTAACTGACCAAAAAATCACCACAAGAGGACGCAACACATTTAAGTTAATTAGACTCCCTTTGGAGAGGTGTAATTCATTCAAATCACCACAGGAGGGCACAAATCTTTTACCGTTATTAGATGTGATTCGCAGTGGTGTCGTTCACAAAAATAACCACAGGAGGGCGCAACCCTTTTTAAGTTAATTAGACTGGATTTGCAGCGGTGTAATTCACAAAAATCACCA